TTCATGATAGACTGCCCTGAATGTACAGGCAAGCAACACCTTCAATATGCCCAGTACTTCACCTGATAATGTCCCATCACATGATCTTCATGAACCATATATCTGTGCATTGTTTTGAGCTGATGGCCTGAAAGTTTTACAGCCTGAAGCTGCAGCAGCAGGCCGTGGCGTAAGCTGGAGAAGAACAAATGTGAGCGCGCTGCTGCCATGAAGATGCGAAGTACCCCGGCAAAGCCAAAAAGAAGCGGGAATACCAGGACCATAACATAGCCGGTTCCACCATCATCAAGGTATCTTCGAAAAAAACGTTGCCCCTCGAGCACAAAGAGAGCGCAGCCCAAAAGGAAGTAGAAGACATTGGTGAAAGCTCGAAGCACAATCTCGGATGATGGCACCGGCTGAAGCTGCGAACAGCTGATGTCGGACTCTGCTGCCAACCCCCAATGACGTCGACGCTCCGTCAAAGCTTTCACAGCTAGTCTCACTGACCACCATACAAGCACAGCAACCACGACCACTACCACGGCAAAGGCAATCAAGAAGGACATCCTTGCATCCTCACGCAGCATGAGAAACCTTTGCCCTTGCAAGACTTTTGGCCTTGGATGTCGGCTGAACAGTTTCGTACGATCGCTGGTTTGATGTGAAATCATGACAAATCCTCTGCTACCCCATGCAACCCCTATACCCGAGACAATGTTGCAAAGAGCATCCACAAATTCAGATTCAACGTGCGTACACATCCGGTACACCCTCATATTTCTTCACTGCTTCAGAGTTGAGGTTCAGGGTTTCAGGTTGCAAAATACATCAACTTTGTGTTGTGGCCTTCATAGGGGTTTGGAGAATGAGTGAAATTGTAGCGACCGCAATTATGCCCTAGAAATTCCAGTCAGGTCCTAGAGTGATGACAATGTGCTGAAAAGCGTGAAGAGCGATGTGAAAGCACCTGACCCTTCAACAACTGTGCATGCGCATACGACCCCCCACGAAAATCAAAGAATGAGCATGGCATGATCTAGTACGTCGGCTGTCTTGCGCTCTAAACGGATTGCCTGAGCTAAAGGGACTGCCTCATACTTGACATGTGTGCAACTGCCAAGAAGCAAGCTCTCCAACATCTCAGAGACTTGCGACTCTGGACGAGGTTGACGCAAGAAAGCAAAACATCGTCCATGCCCGCGTGCGCCTGAATAAAGCACGCCGCTGTCCCAGTGAATTTTTTTGTCCACGTAAACAGTCACTGTGGACTGCTCTGCAGGATCAGTCCGGCCTTGCCAGCTTTTTTTAGAACTCCAAGTACAAGCTTGGCAAACCCGAAAAGAAATCCGTGCCGCGAGGCCTGTACTAAAACGTCCAAAGGACCCTAGAATCTAGACAACAAACACGATGCAATGCCTTTATCTTAACCAGCTTGGATGCTCATATAGAGAGTGACCACGGAGGATGCAACTGCTTCTCCACTGCAATCGGGCGATGCATAGAGGCCAAACTGCGAGCCCGGCTCAAAATCTTGAAATGCCGTTGCATTCACCACGAACAAGTAGCACTCATCATCTACATCATGACGCGACAACCTCGCCTCTGGGAGATGGTGATGGATCTTTTCCAGTGGATCTTCAGGAGCTTTCTCATCTCTCAACGCATCAACTGCGCTGTCTGGGCGAATCCCCAGGGTCACCACCGCAAGGCAAAAGACAAGGATAGATCTTGCGGGGACTGAATTTGGCATGGCAACGGGTGGGATCCAGAGCTAAGTTGCAGATGCTCGAAAGCCACTCGGCTGCAGACTGAAATTGCACGAAGGAGCTTAACGAAGGAGCTTGAGGTAGGGGCTGTCTCCACATTCCTGACTTGCACAACTTCCAAAGGGAGTTCGAAGGGTCCCCGGTGCGCGCCGCTTAACCATCTCCTTGCAGCTTCCGCAGTTCCATCTCGCACTACGCGTTTCTTTTGCCCTCTTGTCATTAGCCTGCATGTTTGTCCCTGCAGCTCGTTTCATGTCTCTGCAATATGGCTGTTGCAGCATGTGCCTGCTGACCATATCAAGCCTCGATCATGCGACGTAGTACAACGCAGCATGACACCATGCTGCCTACTCTGTCCTCAAACCTGCGTGACAAAGCTTCCCCCCCTCCACGTTGCACATCAAGCCAGAGCTCTCAGGACATAAGCAATCGTGACGAGCACAGATCACAAGCGCAAACCATGAAGACGCTTCCACAAACCTTGGCCTTCACCTCCAAAGGTTTCGGGCGCTCAGTGCGGCAGGGCCACCCAGCGAGTAGGCCGCCGGCGAGACCACGCCACCTTCTGGGCCAAACACGCCACCTGGCACCAGGATGCGGATCATGCGCAGCTTGTCTGGATGGTCTAGGGCTGCCCTGCAGCTTCCAATCGAAGTCTTGGGATCTTGCGTTAGAGTCTGGAATGTGCTTTAATTGCCACGCATTTTTCTGGCTTTTGATCTGGATGTTGTTGCCACCTGCAAAGCTGACGGCGGACGCCAGACCGAAAGGACTGAGCCTAGGGTCGTGTTTTTGTTTCTCGAGAATCCTGAACCCTGCACTAGGCCCCCACAGCTCGAAACCCGTAATACACAAGCCTGAAGACCCAGAGAGTCCTAAACCCTAATCAATACCCGGACTTACCCCAACTACCTCAAGATCAAAACTCGACTACCTAAATCCCTAACAAACATAGGCAACACCTGAGCACCCGAAGTGGAAGTCAAGTTTCCCGGCCGAACCGATGCCTAAACCTGAAGCCCCGAAACCCCCGTGAGGCAGCCGCCGTGGTAGGTCTCCTTCTCCGGATGCGGCAGCACCGAGATGAAAGTAGCCTCAGCTACTTCGGTGTTTGGATTGGGGGTAGTTGGGCGCATGGGAGCTTCAGGCTTCTAGGGTTCAGCTGATCTCCGGGAAGGCTTCCCACACCTGCGGACTTCGCGCTGGGATTCAGGACATGTCTTTGCACGGGAAGGATTGAATAGTACCATTTTGGAAACGGACATGCTGAAGAGTACCTGAGAGTGAAACCCCCAAAACGTGTCTCGCAGAAGCACCACACAAGACACAGATTAAGGTCTGAACCCAAGACCACTCAAAGACCCGACTTGTACTAGCTTTGGGTAAGAGAAAATGCTGCCTTAAGCCGTCCCCTCTTTAGTTGTGTAGAACTTACCAACTTGGCGACCTGCCAAGATCAAGAGATTACTGCTCAACAGCATCGTGCCGGGCCACTGAAATTGGAATGCCACTTGTGCTCATGCCGAAGACGTTACCCATGGAGATGTTCCAGCCTGGGTGCATCATGAGTTCTGGGATTGTGGGTTGAGGGATTCGTTGGGGTTCGGGTTTGGGGATTGGCATGGTGCCGCCCAGTGAAGATCATCGGCTTCGACGAACACGTTTATGTCGTGCAAGGCCTACCCATGCAGCCCCCGACCACCTAACAGGGCTTTTCGTTTAGGCAGTTGAAGATTTAGGGGGTCGCATCGGCATCCCATGGCGTACAACATGCCTGGGCGTCTGAATTGGAGAGTTGCCCTAAGAACCATTTCTCAAGCTGTGAAGTTGAGACATCACTCAAACTCCTCCAACAGCACTCCCCAACACCTACCGTGGAACCTAAAGTCAAGTCTATCTACTTGGGAGTGACTACACCACACTCCTCCTCTCGAAGTTCTGATTGAGGTGCACGACTGGATCGGCATTGTTGAAGTTAAAGTTGCATTGCAAGCAGGTGGGAGCCGCTTCTGGCCCGTCGAACGATCCGAGGGAGGTAAGACGCTTCTCTTGTGGGAAGGCTTTGCTACAGATATCATTTGTATCTATCGACCTATGTTTCTACCTATCGATGTGTCTACCTATGCACCAGCTGTCTATCTATCTCTGTACTCTCTGATGCCCTGAAGCCCAAGCCCTTAACCCTGAACTCGAGACTAGACTCGCTGCCATCAGAAGACGAAGATCCAAGGGCTTAGGGGGACTTGCGGCTTTTGGGGTTTCAGGGTCTTAGGGAACGGCACGGGACATGCCAGGGTACACCTGCCAAGTTGTCATTGAGCGCAGGGCTTGCTCAAGGCTCGCTTTTCGACACTCACACTGGAGTTTACGACTGAATGCGATTTACGCCCGAGGGCTTGGTCTGCTCTCGACTTGGTGGCCTTGGTGTTTCTTCTTGCAAGAGCTTCTTACATTCAGCACTTTAAGGATCTGGGCAGACAACGAAGCAGCGCCATGTCCCCTAGCCGATGAGGGGGACCAGCAGCAAAACAGCAACCAGTCCCAAGGCCGTGTGTATAGTGACAGTCCACTCGAGGCCAACAGAGTCAATGGCAGTTGGCATCCACTGCTCCGGCAGGGAGCCACAAAAGTTGGAGGCGCTTGCAAGCACAGAGATGATTGAACCAGAAATCAAGGGGCGCGTCGCAGCAAGGCCGTTGATAATGCTAACTTCAATTACGAAGATCGAATCGCGGATCAGTTTTCGCACTACAGAGAGACCTGCATATGTCCAGTACAAGCTGCCAGCTTCCAGCGTCTCCGGCGTCGCAGTTTGACAAGCGTGCAAGTGCCAAATGGATGCGAAGTTCAGGATCACGAGCCCGAAATAAAGTGACCTTAGACGATGTGCTGGCCAATCCGTAGTTCCCATAAAGTAAGCTGTGCAACAGGACACCGGCACAACCAGCATGTTGAAGAATGCTAGTTTTTCTGGCGTCAGGCCAACTGCATCGTAGCGTTGGCTCTGAAAGTCCACATGGCCGTTGATCAAATTCAGCAGCAATACTAGCCCCAGGAAGTATCTGGCTCTGACACTCCGTGCAAGGAAACCGAACACTTCCGTGACTTGATGTCGGAAGCCCTGTCCCTGAGCTGCCGCATTTCTCAGTCCAGGGATCCGCAGATACAGACAACCAGCAATAGCCACGGAAAGCATGCCTGCCGCCCTGAATAGCACGGAAACTTCTTCCGTAGTCTTCGGATCCTTCAGGTGGAAGAACACCGCGTTGGCGCCCAAACAGCCGAGCTCCAGGCCAACACCCTGGTATAACGAAGCGTGTTCTGGTCGAAGCCTCGGGAAAACGAGGACATCACATGCTATTTTTCGGTTAGATAACGAAACTTGGTGCTGATGCCCAGCCCATTTTCGACAATACCACACCATAGCGGATGTAAGATTCGTCTGTGGTGGGTTAACGAACGGAAACCCTGCTTTCGAGAAGCACCGCACCTCTCCACACCCCAGCCATCCATCAGAATGTCTGCCAGAGCTGTCAGGGCAGCCAACATGCCGATGAACGGCACAAGCGACCAAAGGGCGGGAGGTTGCGACGTGAGCATCTCCACGACGGCGCTGGAACAGGCAAGTAAAGCAAAGCCCGAAAGAGACAGGAGAATCACGAGCTTCGACTCCCGGGACTCCGCTCGCCACAGGGATCCCTGCCTTTCAACAAGGAAGCAAAGCAGCCACTTGATCTGAAAGGGCACCTCGGAATAGTTCAGAAGCCTCTCGTTTTCGTCGCTCTCTCCCTTGCTCACTGCCCACGGGTTCTTCCTCAATAGGGCCGGGATCGTCTCGAAGGCGATGCCCTGCATGCAACCCTCCCAGATGTAGAGGGAGAGCAGAACCGCTGCGTCCATGGCTTCCCCTCCTAAACTCGCCATACCATATGCAGGAAAACCATATCCTTTGAGAGCATGTGGCACACTGGCAGTGCAAGATGCGAGCAGATTGGTGGCAGACTCAAGGGGGGCATGCTGCAACTAGTTTTATTCGGGTGGGTTGACCCGAAACCGAAACTTGCCTGCCGTGGCCTAAACCATTAACCCTTCAACGAAGCTTTTTGCATCCGGGCTTGGGAAGTCGGCGGGGGAAGTGGCAGAAAACAACAGCATCGCGCCAAGCCGTAGCCCGGCGACCCTAAACCCTGAACCAACAAGCCTAAACCTTCAGCCACTGTGGCGTGGCGGAAGATTGCAACATGGGGGTTTCCGAAAATAGGAACCCTAATATAGCACCTTAAACAATACGATCCTCATTATAAGGACCCCAAAATAAGGTACCCCTTGTTTTCGGAAACTCCCACATCGTAGGCTTGAAGCCTTAAGGGCCAGACCGAAGTGCCAGCCGAGGGCGAAACCTGGGGCACTTGCTTCAGTAGCCTAGGCCTGAAGGCCTGGACTTCGCTTTTTTTGAGGCTCACCGCGTTCTGCTGATGTTTAGGGTTTAGGGTTTTTTTAGGGCGGCC